AAAGATGTACAAACCACAGATTGTTTGTGTCATGAAGAATACAGTCGCTGCTTTAATTCTGTCTTTAGGTGTTGTTGTGAGTTTGGACGGAGCAGCTACAACGTTAGTTTAGCCTGATCGATCCGGTCTCCATTCAGAAAACGCGCATTTTAAAAGGTTTTTCGCATGCCGTCTTGTCTCCAAACTTGTCAAAGCATTAAAGCATGGTTGGTACTAACCGTTATCAATATTTAGTTACTTCAGCATCATTTTGAAACGTGTATTACAATGAAATGACGGTAAAATAGGTTAATTTAGTTGTGGTTGGTTTCCACCACAGTATTTACATGGATATAAGCCCCGCCCCCTCTCCAGCGTTTGAATGACAGGACTAAACAGCTGACAGCCGTGGTGAAAGTCCAGGTTAGAGCGATGAGAATATTCGCATCGCATCCGTTGTGAACGCAGCATAATGCAGTTCAGAAACCACTGTTCTGACGCTTTTAAAGCAACTTCGAGATTTTAACAGTATCAGTGGCCGTAGGACGTACAATTATTTTCGGGGCTTCACGGCCAGACCGAGGGGCAATGACGGCATGGGCGTCATGGCCGCCGGTGAAAATCCTACCCTGGTAGACGTGTAGATTATCCGGCTGAACAAAAAGTGCATTTATCAAACAGGTTCGTTTTCCACAGATCTTGATTTTTACAATATTCCAAAATCCTATGGAGAAATCCCGTTTTTGTCGAGGGAACCCATGCGCAGCTTACTTCCGGGTCGGCCTACAAAAATACGTCATCACTGCACCGCTCTATAAGAAGCCTCTAAGAATAGAAATGCGTAATTGTGATCTGTAGTAAGTCTGGTCCCGTGTGTGGAGCATCTTGGGGGTTGACCGGATGTTTTGTCTCCTAGGTGGCAGCGGCAAAGGCAGAGGCGGCTCACAACAGACGGCACTACAGGGCGGCCATGTTGGAGCTGTCAGAGATCAAGAAGGACCTGCAGGCCAAAGAGGACCTGGTGAAAGCTCTGCAGAGGGAATCCCACAAACTACAGTAAGTGCATCTGACAACATGTAAGCATACAGTCACTTTTTGTAGATACTTTGAAAAACAAAAATCGGTTGGTGTGTTGCAAAATCTGTGAAATGAATCCGAATCAGAATCAGGTTTATTACCAGGTAGGTTGACACGTAGGAGGACTTTGACTTGGTGTCGTGGTGCATACTAAGAAGTAAAACAACATTTAAAAACACAGATAGAGAACTATTTTAAGAAAACTATAATAACATTAAAAAAATATAGTTGAATAAAGCAGTATTTACATTGAAATAGAATGGAATAAAATATGTGCAATAATAAAGAAAATAGATATTGTGTACATTCTATGCATTAATGTAATGCATAGAGCAGCGGTTCCCAACCTCTGGCCACGCCAAATAATTTGCAAAACATTATAATTTGTGTGGAAACATTTTCATTATTAAGATTTTTTTTTAATTTGAACCTCCTTTCCTTTCTCTTTCTCGATCCTCCTTAGCAACGGTCATCACAGTCCTTCACAGCGGTCTGTTCTACTGGATTAACAACGTGTCACATGTTCTGAATCGACCAATCAGAACTTTATTTAGCCTCCGTATTGTTTACGGTTGAATGTGGGCCACGAAAACGAAAATGTTGATTCTTAAGTTGGCCCCGAGTTGAAAAGGTTGGGAACCGCGGGCATAGAGTCTAAGATGGGGCTCAGGTTCGGATATGTATGATTGAATATGTGTTTCTCTGCAGGTCTCAGGATGAGCAGCATTCTCAGGAGGTCTCCAGGTTCCAGGAGGAGCTTTCTGAAGCCCACTCCCAGCTGCAGATCCTGCAGAAACAGCTGGACGAGGAGCTGTCCAAGCAGCCGCTCACCAACCAAGAGGTAAGAGACTCAGACTTGAAATGAAATATGAATGATGGCTTTTATTTAAATATCTCAACACTTGATGATATGATAAGCACAATGCAGATTTGATTTAGGATAACTAAGTATTAAACCTGTTTGGACAGCAATGACCTTTCCTTGTCATAGTAGAACAATACTTAACACAACATGCAATACATTGACTACAACACAATCAGACAGCTTGGTCATATTTCACATTTTACAAATAACATTAAACCTCACCCTTTAGGTAAGAATAAAAAAAACAAGAAATAAAAAAGTAGAGTAAGAACTGGGATCTTATTGGTGACATCTTGGAAAGTAATTATACATCTTTGAACCTCTTGGACGATCCTTTCAATATGTATAGTATAGTCTGCATTAATTATAACACAACATTTTGATCCAAGTGCTGTTTTATTATTGTCCTGCTGTTCATGAAATGAGCTTGTTGGTATTGGAGAACATTTCAGTGTCACTGATTTCAAGAGGTGGGAAGTAGTGGAGTACAAATACTTTGTTACTGTACTTAAGTACATTGTTCTGGTATCAGTACTTTACTCCAACTACTTATTTTTCTGACGACTGACATGTTGAACCCAAATACCTGTACTTTCTACTTCTTACATGTTGAACACAAATACCTGTACTTTCTACTTCTTACATGTTGAACACAAATACCTGTACTTTCTACTTCTTACAAGTTGAACACAAATACCTGTACTTTCTACTTCTTACATGTTGAACACAAATGCCTGTACTTTCTACTTCTTACATGTTGAACACAAATACCTGTACTTTCTACTTCTTACATGTTGAACACAAATACCTGTACTTTCTACTTCTTACATTTTGAACACAAATACCTGTACTTTCTACTTCTTACATGTTGAACACAAATACCTGTACTTTCTACTTCTTACATGTTGAACACAAATACCTGTACTTTCTACTTCTTACATGTTGAACACAAATACCTGTACTTTCTACTTCTTACATGTTGAACACAAATACCTGTACTTTCTACTTCTTACATGTTGAACACAAATACCTGTACTTTCTACTTCTCACATGTTGAACACAAATACCTGTACTTTCTACTTCTTACATGTTGAACACAAATACCTGTACTTTCTACTTCTCACATGTTGAACACAAATACCTGTACTTTCTNTGAATGTGTGTTTGGTGGCGTGATCATTATTATTTAGAGTCATTGCGTGCCTATTGATTTGAACACGATCCGTGTATCCATCATTTCCTGGTCTTCTCTAAAGAAGAGGGACTAATGAAAACGTTGTCATGTTGCCGTTGTTCAGCATGGAAACATTCATTAGCTAACAATGACATTATTGTTCTATTAATATAAAGGGAGGTCAGGTACTCTTTAAAACAGCTGCTAGTTATGGGTACTTTTTACTGAAGTACATTTCAAAGCCTCTTTACTTTGACTTGAGTAAAGAAGTTTAGTCAGTACTTCTACTTTCACCAGAGTATTTTTAAACACGAGTATCTGTACTTCTACTTGAGTAAAGGATGTGTGTACTTTTGCCATCTCTGGTGATTTCTAACATTGTCTTCTGCTTCAGGT